CACAGCTTCTCTTGACAGAGCAAGCGATATTTCACTTCTTCCAAAGTAAGCAATTGAAAGATGTAGGAGTTATGTCTCTTTAAAATGTCGCTATTATTAGAGTTCATTATACAATGATATCAACATATCCTACTTACAGTTAAAAAATGTCTTTTCTAACAGAATTTTTGTTCAGAAGATTTGAAATCAAATTATATATGTCAGTATAAAATTTAATATAACCATACATATATTAACTTAACTTTTAAATACTAGTTAATTATATATACATATATATATATATATAACTTTAACTTGTGAGTGATGATTTTTTTTTATTTTAAATAATGAAGAATCTGTTAATTTTCAAACAGGAAGTTTGTACTCCACACTTACCAAAGAAGAAGTTGTGACTTAGTTTGTAACAAGTGTCTACGACCAGGCCAAAATTACGAGGTTAGTTTCTGTTTATATGTTGTGGTAGAAAATGTTAGTCACATTTAGGCTGATTTGATATGGGACGCTTTAAAAAATAACAAAAGTTGTTCTTGGGACTAATGACAATGTCTAACGTCAATGTCTAACGACAATGTCTATCGTCAATGTCTAACGTCAATGTCTAACGTCAATGTCTAACGTCAATGTCTAACGTCAATGTCTAACGTCAATGTCTAACGTCAATGTCTAACGACAATGTCTAACGTCAATGTCTAACCTCAATGTCTAACGACAATGTCTAACGTCAATGTCTAACGACAATGTCTAACGTCAATGTCTAACGTCAGTGTCTAACGTCAATGTCTAACGTCAATGTCTAATGTCAATGTCTAACGTCAATGTCTAACGTCAATGTCTAACGTCAATGTCTAACGTCAATGTCTAACGTCAATGTCTAATGTCAATGTCTAACGTCAATATCTAACGTCAATGTCTAACGTCAATATCTAACGTCAATGTCTAACGTCAATGTCTAACGTCAATGTCTAACGTCAATGTCTAACGTCAATGTCTAACGTCAATGTCTAACGTCAATGTCTAACGACAATATCTAACGTCAATGTCTAACGTCAATGTCTAACGTCAATGTCTAACGTCAATGTCTAATGTCAAAGTCTAACGTCAATGTCTAACGTCAAGGTCTAACGTCAATGTCTAACGTCAATGTATAACGTCAATATATAACGTCAATGCCTAACGTCAATGTCTAACGACAATGTCTAACGTCAATGTCTAACGTCAATGTCTAATGTCAATGTCTAACGTCAATATCTAACGTCAATGTCTAACGTCAATATCTAACGTCAATGTCTAACGTCCATGTCTAATGTCAATGTCTTACGTCAATGTCTAACGTCAATGTCTAACGTCAATGTCTAACTTTAATATTTAACGTCAATATTTAAAAGCAATTTCTAACTCAATGTCTAACGTCAATGTCAAACGTCAATATTTAGGGTCAATGTCTAACGTCAATGTCTAACCTTTATGTCCAAGTCAATGTCTAAAATGATCATGTAACGCAAATGTCTAACCTTAATTTCTAACGTCAATGTCTAACAACGATGTTTAACCACAATGTCTAATGTTTGTTTCTAACTTTATTGCCCAACGTTAATGTCTTACATTTATGTCTAACTCAATGTCTATTTCAAAGTCTAACGTCAATGCCTACCTTCGATTTCTAACGACTACGTTTAACGTCAGTGTTTAACGATAACGTTTGACTTCAATGTATGACGTGTATTTCTAACGTCAATTTCGAACTTTAATTTCTAACGTCAATATCTAACGTCATTATCTAGTGTCAATGTCCAACGTCAATGTATATCTACTACGTTTGACTTCAATGTCTGAAGTCAATGTCTAACGTCAATGTTTAAAGTAAATGTCTAACAATTACGTCTAACATCAATATCTAACGTCAATATCCTACGTCAATGGCTACCATATTTTTTGTATATTTATATCCATCAAATTAATTTCAGAATGATATTTGTGCACCAAGATGGCGGCTTCTAGTAGACACTGGCAAAAGTGGGAGCAAATACTTTCTATCTGCTAATGAAGATTTCATAATTAAAACAATAAACGACAAGGAACATAACTGTTTGAACGACATTCTACCTCGTTTATGTCAGGTACGTTAACACATCAAAATGTCTAAAGAAGATTCTATCTAGGTTAATTTCTCTAAGTATATATGTCTAAGTACATATGTGTTTTTTTGTCTAAGTATATATGTGTAAGTATATTATGTCTAAGTATATATGTGTAGATATATTCCTTAGTGTATATGTGTAGGTATATGTCTAAGCATATATGTGTAGGTATACGTCTAAGTATATATGTGTAGGTGTAAGTCTAAGAGTATCCAACGGCTTTGTTCCGCTCATACTTTATTTATGTATCTCTTCTTTTACCTAACAACCTGCATGAAAAAGTATCTACTATAGCCTACTTCCTTATCTTGCTTGTTTAAATATATGTATATATCCGTATTGAAATATTGGCTTTAAAATGTGTGTGTATATTGTTTGTGTTCTTGGTTGAACTATTATTACTAATCGTATAAGTATTTCTAGAATCCAGTACTTCAACGGCCTATTTCAACAGAGGTGGATAGCTAAATTGTTTCCTCTCCACCTCTCCACACATCCCCCCGACTCTCCACCACCCCTTTCATCTATCCAAGCACCCTTCCACCTCTCAGGATACCCCTCCAACTCTCCACACACCCTTCCACCTCTCCACCCACCCCTCCACCTTTCCAACCACCCCTCCACCCTCCCCCCACCCCCCCACCCTTCCCAACACCCCCTCCCCCCTCCCCCCCCCCCCCCCCCCTCCCCACCCCCCCCCCCCCCCCCCCCCCCCCCCCCCCCGCCCATTTTCCCCAATTGCCCTATCAAAAGTCCTCGCACTGAAAGTGGTCTCAGCATAGGGATTTACCTAGTGGGTCAATGAACAAGAACAAGACCTATTAGCCCATCCATCATGTCATACTATCGCTGGAAGGAGGCTACTTTCCCCCGTCGTGTGTTTATACATTTCATACCAAATAGAAAGGCACAAATAAGTTGTTAATTAGTAAACAGGCATGGCCAGGTGCTCCAAAAAAAATTAATGCTTTCTATTATTTTAAGGGATTTTTTTTTTAAAGACGCCTGCTGCCAAAAAAATAATAATAATAATAATAAAAAAAAACATTAAAAGATGAGAAGCAATTAATTTGTAGAGAATCCCCGAACATCCGGATGTCATAGTGACGTCATAATCTCACAATGAAGGTTACTTCCCCCCCCCCC